TCGTGTTACTCTCTACACTGCACTCAACCTGAGGGATTCCTACACTTTCAGTCTTTGAGGAGACATGAAAAACAACGCATACCGCAGGAACAGTATAACGGAAAATATTAGCGGTTTTGAAACCGTGAAATTTTCAAATCGCGGTATACCTTGAAACCGGTAATCGGCCCATGCCTAGTTGGCACCCCTGTTCTATACGGTCACTTTTTATTTAGCTATGCCCATGCTAAATAGAAGTACTAATTATTGTTTTCTTTCAATCATACTTAAAAATAAAAGTTGACAAACTTTTGAATGGTACTAAAATCATGATTTCCACAAAAATATAAAACAGGAAAAACTTGCAATATTGATAATAATAGGAAAAGTTTCTTGAGCACAATCAGTATATTAGAATAATTTCTGAAGGAATAAATTACATTTCAGAATATATTATAAATACAAAACAGTTATTATAAATTGTTTGTACAAGTAACATTTCACAATTTTTGTGTTTTTTATTGTATTTTTGATCAAACAAATGCAGCCTTGGTGGGCATAAGAGACTTCTTAGAATTTGGAATGTTGCCCTTTTGATTATTTGATAAGTGATTTAAAAATTGTGCAAAAGCTTAAATATTTTATTCATACATTTTCTTTTTTTCTTTCTTTCTTTCTTTCATTTTATGTCCTTATTAGTTCTTTGCTTTACAATTTTCTAAAACTTTTAGTTTATTTCCAGGTTTAGATTATATTTTGGATCCCAGATTTTCAATATGTTATCAAACTTCTGGGTGATATATATATACATTTTTTTCCACATTATATCAACCATCAGTCCTCTTGTTCTGCAAATACTGGCATCCCTGATTGAAAAACTTGATTGACCACTAGTTAAAAACTGATAATTTAGGAGGAAGTTCATAAGAAAAACACATACCTTCTTTTTGCCTCCTCATATTTCAGGCTCAGTCGTACCTTCTCAGCCAGTTTATTTGAGTTTGATACAAACTAAATCAAAAAGAATAAAACTTTTTTTTTTTAATTCTCTGAAATTATAAAAGACATTTTACCCAACAAATGACTTGCACATTGTGAAGTCACTAACAAAACACCACAGTCATTCATCATTTACAACCAAGTAAAACTCAACGCTGAAGACCGTCTCTCACCTCGGCAGGTACATCTGTTTGAGACTCGGCGTCTGAGTAGTGGCGGGGCAGAGAGAGGTTTGAGTTGGCCAAGGACAGATTGCTGGCCCACAGGTCAGACTGAGAGCCATAATCTAACTGGAAACCATCCTTCAGCACAGCCAGTTTCTAAAAGAAACACAATAATCAGATGTCAGTCTGTGATTTTGTCCCTTTATGAAGTATTTCACCTTTAAGTGAGGTCAGAAAATCTTTGACCTCTATTTTCCGTTCTCTCACAGGTAGCGACTGCAGATCGCACATTCAGAACATTTTTGAGATGACAACTGCCGACCGGGGCTTAAGCAAAATTCAGTCGTCTGACACCTTCTGTGTTATAAGAGACGTTACCTGTGTGATTATTAAGTGATGAGCAAAGAGAGACAGTCAGACTACAGGGACGGAAGTTTACTTGCAAGAAAGCAACACAAAGCTATGAGTGTGCACGTAACGGGCAAGCACACACATGATTGAAGAAGTCTGCCAGCTGCACCGGGGGGCATGCATTATTTAGCACTGCCTGCCTCTCCATATGCTCGTGGAACAGAGTGAGGAAAAAGTTGGAAATAAATAAAAGATGACAAAGGAAATGAAAAACAAGAGTGAATAATACCCAATGAAAAATTAAGTCAGCTTAGGCTCACTGAGAACAGAAAAGCTGCTCTTTGAAAGCTTAAACACTACAGTGAGATTTGGGAAGAATCCACTGGCCAAACGTTCACTACCATTCAAAAAATTATTTAATTATTATTTTTTAAAGAAAAAAATCTTTTTAAATTAAATTCTGTTCTTTTGAACTTTATAATTATCAAAGTATTCTGAAAAAATTTATGAAGGTTTGTACAAAAAATATTAAGCAGCACTGTTTTCAACATTGATAATAAGAAATTAGCATAAAATCAGCTTATCAGAATGATTTCTGAAGGACCATGTGACACTTAAGACTGAAGTAATGGCTACTGAAAATACAGCTTTGCAATCACACAATTTTTTTTTAAATATTAAAGGTATTATGAATTAAAACTATATTAATAATACTTCACAATATTACTGTTTTACTGTATTTTCAAATAAATGCAGCCTTGGCGAGCATAAGAGACTTCTTTCAAAAATAAAAAAAAATCTGACCAATCCCAAACTTTTGGGATTTCACAATTTTATATATATATATATATATACACATACATACATATACACACATATATATATATACATATATATTAGTGCTGTCACTCGATTAAATTTTTTTTAACTAATTAAAGGTGGGGTAAGCGATTTCTGGTAGCCAATGTTGACATTTGAAATCACCAAAACAAACACGCCCCTACCCCAAAAGGGTCTCGCCCCTATTTTGATAGCTCCGCCCCACACATACGTATGCAACCCAGGCAACAATTAGTTCTGTGAAACAAAGCAAAACCAATGTTACACCGTGTCTACACCGCACGCGAGTGGCGCGG